TAAGAATTTGTTTGGTTCAAATAGAAATTTGTTTGGTTCCAATAAGAATTTGTTTGGTTCAAATAGAAATTTGTTTGGTTCCAATAAAATTTTGTTTCGTTCAAATAAATTTTATTCAGTTTAAATAAAATTTTTTTTGGTTCAAATAACATTTTACGTGGTATTTCTGTGGGCATAAGTTATTCTAAATAAAGTTTGTTTATAACCCAAATAAATATTTACTTGATGGAAATAAATATTTGGTTCAGTTTAATAAATTTTGCACCAACTGGAATTATTTAGTCATTTGAAGTAATCTTTTAGTTGAATCAAACAAATGTTTCGTTAACTGTGTAACACTGCCTTTATTTTTTTTTTATTCAAGAAAATTTTGGTTATTTCAAACAAATTTTTTTCTGAGTGTTGGGTATACTGTATTTATGTACAGAAAAAATTAACTATCGTGTCAAGAAATTTTTTTAATGCTTTTCAGTAGAATTGATTTTTTTTTTTTTTTTTGCAAAAAGAAAATTAGGTTTAGATTAGAGTAGATTTAGATTTGAATTATTCGAATATAAATATTCGAAAATAGAATAGAATATTGGAAAATTTGAATTATTGTCACTGCGAAAGATTCCCTTTTTTCAGATTAACTATTATAAATATCTACAAGCATGTGACATTTTTTTTTTGTTTTCATTGCGCGCTTTTAGGGATTATTTGACTTTCTAAAAGATATCACAAGTTTGTGAATTTTAATTATTATAATATATAAAAATGATGTGCAGGCATTCGACCATTCTTAGAATTTTCAGCGACGATCGCTGGTTAGTGTAGATTTTTTTTCTTTTTTTGCGGTTTTTTTTCTTTTTAATCATTACAAGTTCAGTCTATGAGATTAAATACAACGTCAAAATGGCAGTGCTTTAACTGGCTAACATCAAAATCTCACACGTTTACTGGCAAGAGTTTCTGTGCGAATCAAAAATTTTTGTTTTGGCAAATTTTAAAATTTGTGAAAATTATTTATTAGTATTATTATTATTTTTATTACTATCATTATTATTAAAGACTAATTATCTCAATTATAATTGCGTAATAATTTTGTACACTGTAATTTTGTCTCTAAATTTCGATAAAAAAGTATTTTCTATGAAAAAATGGGTTTAAAAATTTGTTTATTATTTTGAAAAGAATTTTTGAAAATTCACTGAAAACAGGTTTTCTTTCTTTAATTATATGATAAATAATTAGTTATTGAATAGGTTATTGAAAAGTTCACTTTTGACTTTTTTTTTAATTTTGAATTTATTTTTAAGTATAAGGAGCACAGAAAAACTTTTAAAAAATTTTGTTGTACGCCTGTTGGATTCGGATGATTTGCCAAATGCACCATTTTTATGACAGAAAAAATTGTCCTTTACTCCTATAGTCCTGTTAAAATGTTTTTTTTTAATTTCATTCGCCAAGAACACTCATACGTCATTTAAATTGCAACAAATAAGAATTCGCTAGAAATCAAAGTTGTGTAATGTACAATAAACCAATGAGACTTTTTTTCTTTTCTTTTTTTTAATATTTGTAGTCGCTACAATCCGCCTCGAGATTTCGATTCTTAGCGAATTCGAGCATTTAAAAAAAAACACAGGCACAAAATGGAGAGCACACGATCGATATGTGTGATCCATGATCGATGATTATAGTCTTATGTACACGGAATTCGATTTTTTTTTACAGAAATAAATAATAATTTTTTTAATAAATAGATTACTAGATTAATAGGTCGTTTTAGGACTCGCAGCTTCGATTCTGCCCGACTTTGATTATTTGACTTTTGTTAAAAATAATTTTACTTTCTTTATTTTTATTTTTATTATTAATTATTAATATTAATATTAATATTATTAATATTTTTATTATTAATATTATTATTATTTTTTTTTAATTGTCCCCTGTGTCGTAAGGAAGACAAACGGAAATAAGTAAAATTTTTTTTCGACAATTTTATTTCTTTGGGCCATATTATTACTATGTCTTTTGTTTTTTTCCTCGTAAAATTGATGTTACATGTTTCATAATAATCTTATGTCATAATTGCAAATTAATAATTATTAACAAATATTAATAATTAAATTATTAACAATTAACAATTAAATTATTAACAATTAATAATTAAATTATTAACAATTAACAATTAAATTATTAACAATTAATAATTAAATTATTACCAATTATAATTAAATTATTAACAATTAATAATTAAATTATTAACAGACAATTATAAATGACAATAATTATTAAAAGTGTTAATTAATTATTTACAACTATTCAGACAGAATTGAAATATTAAAAAGTAGAGAAATAATCCTTTTGACAACATTATATTATTTGTTTTTTAATTTGGAAAAACTTTTTAGTATTTTTGAGAATTTTAATTTTCAAGTTTTAAATTTTTTTTTTAAAAATAGGTTTATTTTTTTTTCTTGCGATACAAAATTGAAAAGAACTTTCAACAGTGAATTAAGAAACAAAAGATCTCTCTACTTTTTTTTCTTTTGATTTTTGAATTTTTATGTGACATGTAACACGTCTCAAGAGTGAAAAATGGAAATAGAAAATCAATTATTTTTTACAGCTATAGAATTTAAAGTAACTATACTGTTAACTGATGTTATCGAAATGTTTTTATTCCTCATTGGTGTTTGATAATCATGATTCATTTAAATAATTGGGAAGAATATACTTATTTAATATTATATCCTGATGATGAAAAAAAAATGTGACATTTCTAAAGAGATCCTGATCTCTGAACTTTTACTTTCCATGTGACTCAAATCTTTGGAATTCCCTAAATTTTAATTTTAATCTCTTATTATTTATTATTTTAATTTTTAATTTTAAATTTAATTTTACTATTTTTTAATTATTTTTTCTCTTTTTCATTTTACTTTTCTAAGAATACTTCACGGTTCGTCACGACATTTATAACCCTAAAATAGTAATTTTTTGTTTTCTTTTTTAAAAACAAAAGTTTGTTTTTGAGAAATTCCATACTTTTAGGTACTATTTTTTTTAAAGTAAATTTTTTTATTTTACGCGTAATTAATTATAATTGCGGAAAGTAATATGGTTTTTTGAAGAATTAGTATTTTTTGAAGATTAAGTGATGAATTTTTCTATTAAGGAAATATTGTACTAAGTTTTAGGAGAAAAATTCTTTTGTGTTGAATTTTTGTTTATATTGTACTAATTTTTTGAAAATAATTTTTCAAATTAATTTCTCTTCGGGCACATTATTGTCACAATCATCGCAACTCGCGAGTGCTGCGAGATTCTAATCTCAAAGACCTTTTTCTTTTTTTTTTAATCTTAATACCTAACTTTAGGACGAGGTTGTTGCGCAAATATTTTATAATACAACGAAAAAATACTCTTCGTTTGAAAGAACTCTCTTTAAGTTTGTGGAAATTTTTTCTGTAATTTTTCTACTATATATTCGGTAGGGAAAAAAATCATTCGAATTGAAGTATGGAATATTTCTATTTTCGCCATTTTCTTGAAGTTCACAACGTTTATGATTTTCGTTTAAAAATGTTTTTACAAATTTTTTTAATCAATTATATTTTATGGTTTTTCTTAGCAAATTTTTGTCACAAATTTTCTTAATTAACTATTTTAGGTTTGCGACAGTTCAGGAAAATTAGAAAAATGGTAATTTTATCAATAGTTCTGGAAAAAAAATTTAAATTAGTAAAAAAAATTCTGGTTCGTGTCATTCAGGGATCTTTAAAATTATTAGAAACTTTAATAATTAAATTAATTAGTTAGAAAGTTTAATTTTTCTTCACCTTTTGAAAATTTTAAATCTCCAATTTCAAAAGGAAAATTTTGAATTTTTTTCCCTTTCTAACAAAAATTATTAAGATTTAGAGAATTTTAGAGTTGAATTTATTTTAATGATCCCCAAGTTTTGAACGTTCTAAAGAACGAAATATTTTTTATTAAAGATATTTTTATAAATTACTAATCACAAAAAATTTAAAAACTGAAATATTTACGGTTAGAAACTCAGTTATTAATTTTTTGGATAGTGACGCAAAATAATTGCAATAAAAATTTAATTTGTAGAAGAAATAAATAAATTTCGTTCATTTGAACGTTCAGAACTTTAGGATCTTTTATTTTAAATTTTATTCTGGAAGAACCTTTTTAAAATTATTATTTATTAGTGATTTGGCGAATAATTATTCTCTAAATTTATTATTTTATTTATTTTCCTACTTATTATTATTTTATTATTTTAATTAGAAATTCTCAAAATAATTGAATTTTGTAAGAGTTGTTATTGCAGTTTTATAAATAATTGATTCTAAAAGATTTTGAATTAAAATTCTTGAAAATAAGAATAATGAAATAATTTTTACTAAACTTTTTACTAAATTATTTCAAAAATTTTCAATTAGTTGTTTATAAAAATTCAATTATCTTTTAAAAACTACAACTGGAATCTTTTAACTACCAAGTTGTTCAGAATTTTTCATTAAATTTTTAAAAATACTTGAATAAATTCTTCAAAAATCTATAAATTTCAATCTATTTAAAATTTACTTAATAATAAAATTTGTCATTTTAAATCTTTCGAAAGTAATTTTATTAATTAAAAATGAAAATGAGATCAAATTTTTGTAGCAACCCTGATTTTAAAAGAAAATTTTGTGAATAGAAAAATTGTATTATTTTGGGTTAGAAAAATACTTTTTTCCCTGAATTTTTGCATCCTGTTGAGTTGAAGAAGAAATTTGTTGTTTTCAGCATCAAATTTCTTGACAAATTAATACCAAAAAATGTGGTTGAAATAAATTATAATTTGATCACAATTTTTAGTATTAATTTTAATATCTTTGAGAAAATTGGGTGATCATAAACGTTGTGAACTACACCGACGTTCCACACAGCACCGAAACTTTCCTAAAAATTAATTAAAGATTTACTTGCAAACTTCGAAGAATTTAATTGCGCACAGTTTAGTAAAAATTGTGTAAAGATTTAAATGTTCCACTTTAATAAATAATGTTTGTCGTCAAACTTTCCTGAAAATTTAGCTTGAAACTTTCCCGAACATTTAAATTACATTTTCGGCTACGCTTTTATAAGCGAAAGTTTCACGCTAAATATTTATTGAAGTGGGACATTTAAATCTTTACACAATTTTCACTAAACTTTGCAAATAAATACTTCGAAGTTTGCAAGTAAATCTTTAATAAATTTTTAGGAAGGTTTCGGTGAGTGCTGTGTGGTTTTATTCTCAGCGATTTTTAAAACAATGAGTTAGGGCCAGTTTCACCAACTCCGATTAAAAGTTAATCAGTGGTTAAAGTTATTTTAACCGCCCACGATTGGTCGGTTAAGGATTTAATCATTGATTAACTGTTAATCGGAGTTGGTGAAACTGTCCCTAAATGGAAATTGATTAAAATTAATTAAAGGAAATCTTTGATTAAAAGAACTAATTGATTTAAAATTGATAGAATGAACACATTGATTAACAACATTAACACATTGATTATTATCTAAATTGAAGAATAGTGATTAAAAAAACTGGAGAGTTCTCAAATGAAGAATATTATTTTGCAGTGTATCGAGCGCAAAAAGCTTACATATATAATCGAAGGTGCCAATTTTTATGTACACATGTGTTAAACGGAGGGATATAAACAATACGTAGTCTCACATGGCCAGTCTTCTCGTTGAGTCTTTCAACTTACCAGCCTTGATCAACCTCATAGTCCTTGGTGTACTGATGGTGGCGATGGTATCATCGTCATTTACTTCAGCTGAAGAGCCACTTATCGTAATGCCTCCGTATTCTAATGAGGAATTGGAAATTTCCTCATTCGAATAAGAGGCATCGAATTGATCATCTTCAGCTGAATCAAGTGGCGATGAAAGTTCGGATAGTGTTGCGACAGCAGCAGCCCTCGATTGGGTTGAACCAGAGGTGACCTTGACTGATGAGCCGGAGACGATCGAAGGAAGCTTAGTGGCATCAGCAGAAACTGGATCGACAGATGATCCTGTGGTTGAGGAACCAGGTGACCAGGAAGAGGGCGATGTCGATTGTGGCTCCTTTGGCACCATTGTTGTTGTTGTTGTTCTGCCCGGAAGTTTCTTCTTGGCCTGCAGAGAGGTCCTCTTAAACCCAGGGGGCTTTTTCTTTCCGTTCATGCTATCAGGCTTTTTTTCTTTCTCGTCTTCGTGCTCAGCGAGATTCGGTTTTTTCGTACTTGGCTGTTTCTTACCCTTCTTTGATTCCTTCTGCTGCTGCTGCTGATGCTGGTGATGGTGGTGATGCTGCTGCTTGGAGGAAGGCTTCTCCATCCGTGACTTCCGCTTCTTGGAGGCTGCATCCATTGCTTGACGTCGACATACCTCATCACTGGCGGCACCCTCGCAGGACCTCTTGGACTCGGGTAGACCCTCACTGCTGTTGGCAGAGTCGACGTGATGCTCGCACTGGGGACCGGGACTCTCGTCCTCGCGACACTTGCGTTTTCGTTTCCTTCGCTTTTTACGCTTTCGACAACGATAATTGTCGACATTATCCTTCTCGGGCTGGAGAATTCTTGGACAGAGATTCTGTTGTTTGTGTTGATGATGGGCATTGTGCCGATGACGAACATTGTGATGGGTGGCGAACATTCGTCTGTGTAGAGTCTCGACACGATCGGGCGAAACGACCATTGTTAGGACTCGACTGTAGGCTGAGAGCCTGCCTAGATTGTGACCTTTGGCTTGGACCCTTCTTGGTTCACCGTAACGATTAAGGCCGAGGTAGAGAGTTTTTTGATTAGTTGACCATCGCACTGAACTATAGGTATTGTAGTTGTGTTGCTCTATGGTCTCGTTGAAAATGCAGTCCTCTGTGTACTCGTGCTGTAACAGAAGACAAATTTTTCGTTAGTTATACTCTTTTTCGACTTTTGTTTTTTCATTACAATATTTCACGATTAATTTTACAATATTTAACGTATGGTACTATTTCTTAAATCGAGAATTTATTTATCAATTTGTTTACCGAAAATAATAATTCTAAGACTCTAAAAAATTGTCGACCATAAAAATATCGCAAATTAAAGTAAACTAAAAATTGAACTCCGTTTATACTAATTGTTTATATTAATTGGACTCTTTAGATTCAATGTCTGATTATAAATAATTGTAGAATTACAAACATCTTGCTATTCTCCACCTGAGAACGCCAAGGTCACCATTAGATGGCAGGTCAGTCGATAAAATCAGATTTCGCCACCTAGTGGCGACCTTGGCGTTCTCAAGTGGAGAAATTAAACCACCAATATCTTTATTTCTTAAAAACTTTTAATTAATTAAATATTAATTAATTTCAAAATTAATTTTTTAATATATTTAATTCTTTATTAAAAATAGTGGATTTATAGAAGAATTTTAGTTAAAAACATTTAAAAAATTGAATTTTGGAAGAAGTTAAAAATTATTACAGAAATTCAATTCTTTTCAAGAGTAATAAATTGAATTCAATTATTTTTATAAATAATAAAATTCTTGTCCGAAATTCAATTATTTTAAAAAAGTTGAATAAAGTTCTTGGCAAAATTTCAATTATCTTTATAAATAATAAAATTCTTCTCCGTAATTCAATTATTTTAAAAAAATGTAATAAAATTATTAACAAAATTTTAATTATCTTTATAAATAATAACATTCTTCTCCGAAATTCAATTATTTGAAAAAATTTTTCTGAATTCAATGATTTTCAATATCTACTATTTTAATAAAATTTTACAAAAGAATTCAATTATTAAAACAATTTTTAATAAAATTCTTGGCAAAATTTCAATTTTCTTTATAAATAATAACATTCTTCTCCAAAATTCAATTATTTTCAAAAATTTGAATAAAATTCTTACAAAATTTTAATTATCTTTATTTAAAAAAATTTCCCTTAATTCAATGATTTTTAATATCTATTATTTTAATAAAATTTTTTACATGGAGTTAATAATTTTCATAAATAATAAAATTCTTGGTAGAAATTCAAAAAAATTTCAAAAATTTTAATAAAATTGTTGTCAAAATTTCAATTAATTTCAAAAATTTTCCTGAATTCAATAATTTTGTATGTCTACTATTTTAATAAAAGATTTTACAGCGTTTCAACTTATTTTCATAAATATAATAAAATTCTTTTTAGAAATTGAAATTATTTTCATAAATATAATAAAGCTCCACAGAATTTTAATTATTTTTAATGCCATTTTTATTGAATTCCTCGAAAAATGGAATTATTCTTAAAAATTTTATTAAAATTCGTCAAAAGAATTTAATGATTTAAAAAATTTGTTGATAACATTTTTTATGAGAATTCAATTTCAAGAAACATGAAATTAATAAATTATTTATTTTTGTATTTAAATAATTGAATTCTCGAAGAATTTTTTAATAAAAACTGATTTAAAAATGAATTTTAGTTAAAATTTTAAATAAGAATTGAATTTCAAAAGCATTGCAGCGCATGAAGTTTTAGAAATAATTGAATTTTGAAAAGATTTGAAATTAAAATCTTTGAAAACATGAATTTTTTCACACTTTTAGCTAACAATTCTGTAGAATTAATTTTTTTGAAAAAGTTTAATTGCATTTTTTTTTGAAATTATTTGAAGTTTTTATTTTCTAGTATAAAATTGAAGAATTTCCGAATAATGGATGAAATTTCGTAAAATTGAATTGTAAACAAATGGATTTGAAAATTGTTAAAGAACTTTTTCAAAAATTATCAGAAATATAATAATGATTAAATATTTGTTTAAAAATGAAGTTATTGATGGCTTTGATTAATTTTACAATTAGAGAAATCCGTAAATAAATGTAATAGAACTTTTTTTTTGCATATCTAATTATTTTGAGAGTGAATCAGAATATTCTTTAGGGTCAGGGAAAAAGTGAGAATTTTATCTGGAAATCAGAGAAATACAAAATTAAATTTTTTTTGGCAATCCTGGTGCTATTTTTTATTTTTAAATTCAGTCCAAAGCCAGGTGACAGTGATCTTGATCTTTTACTCCCAACAATAGTGGGAATATTTGTTATCTATTAATGCAAAAAAAATGAAATGTTTTTGTTGTTATGAGTAGATGCATTTAATGTGCCATTGACCCGAGGACTGTGAATAATTTTGCGCACCCACACACGGGTGGAATCACCGACGCAATATTCCAAATATTTGCTTTCAATGTTTATAATACTGTTGAGGGATTTATCGTATCGTATTGCCAAGTTGCAATTTCAAACGTGGAAACTTTAAAGGACTCTAAATCAAAACTTCATTTTTTCTTTGGTTGCGGAAATTTTCTCTTTGGTTTTTTCTATTTTTTCTCTGATTTTGTTCTTATTTGCTTTGAATTATTTTGTTGGAAAATAAAAAATTAAAGGAAATAAACAGCAAGAAGTCAAGGGAATAAATAAACAGAATGATTGTAAATAATAAAGAAGTAAATATTTTTTCATTTATTTATTTCGTTGATTTCTTGTTTATTAACTTCCTCTAATTTTTTTTTACTTCATTTCAATGATAGTCATTAAATTTTCATGTCACACAATCATTTAAAAATTATAATAAAAGATAATGAAGAGCTACAGATTTCTAAGACACGACAAACATATCTTTATGTCTTATCAAATTTATATTCTCTATGGGGAAGATATTCGTTAACTGTAAAAACGAAGTGATCTACTAACAAGATAATTTACAATACATATGTAAATCATGTGGATAATAATTATGCACATCCTGAAACTATTTGTATTTAATGGTAGAAAATTATTTTTTTTTTCTAAAATTAGTTGCAAATTGATTATAAATTTTATCTGTTCGTTACATGTATAAAAAGGTGGGAGACGAGTGTTATATTTATGAAGAAGGAAAGCAACATATTTTTAGATTTTCTTTTTTTTTTTGAATGAATGAATGTATGAATGGAATAGTAGAAACAGTAATTTTGAAAAAAAGGTATAAGAGTTAGTGATATCTGATTAAATATATATTGACATCTAATTAGTAAAATGGAAACAGGTTCTTCTTTTATACGACATCTTCCCGAAGTAGAATATTGGATTTCGAATCGAAACGTGTTAACACGTTTCGGCTACTCTCACCATTCAGATCCAGTTCTCGCTGCATTAATTTATGATCCAATTTGCTAAATCGTGAGGATATAACCGACACTTGAGCTAATGATTACAATGAGCCAAAAAGATGGAATAGAGATATTATAAATTGGAAATCTAAGGTTTCAAGTAAAATGTTAATTTTGTGTTCATATTTTTTCTACATGACTATACTTTGTAGCACAAAATATTCTTATCTGACGCTTATGAAAATATGAATATATTTGAAAACTAAACTTGTTTCTATTTTATTTATAATAGGAGAAACAGTTTATAGTTTAACTTTTGCTGTTTACAAAGTTTTAATTATAATTATGGAATTTCTTCGCTTTACTGATAGTGTATTTTCTACTATTTCCGCATAAATAAATTTTACTATTTCCTATGAAGTAAATTTCAGTAATTTTTCAGTTATTTCGTTTAGTTTTTTTTTTTTAAATAGAAAAAATTGTTTGGAACTTGTTCGCATTTTTGATAGCGCAATTTTTATAATATTTCCGGATGAATAAATTTTACTATTTTCGAAGTGAATTTTAGTAATTTTGTAAATTTGACAACTTTTTTTAGATTTAAATATTTTTTATAAATTATTTTTGGGGTTAGGGTTATTTTTTTTCGAATTTTGACAATAATAAAAGTTGCAGGTCAGGAAAATTAGAGAAGTTTATTCAAAATAATGTAAAAATATCAAATTTTTAAAGAAATACTGCAAAAATTATTGCAGAAATTCAATTCTTCTGAAAAATTCAATTATTTTTATATAAATAATAAATTTTTTTTACAGAAATCCAATTTTCTTTATAAATAATATAATAAATTCTTATAAATTCAATTATGTCCAAAAATTAAAAAAAAAAATTCTCGTCAAAATTTCAAGTATCTTTATAAATAATAAAATTCTTCTTCGAAATTCAATTATTTTTAATTTGAATAAAATTCTTGGAAAAATTATTTTAAAAAAATGTAATAAAATTCTACGGAAACATTTAATTATTTTCATAAAGTAATACAAATTTCATAGGAATTCAATTATTTACAAATTTTTTTATAAATTTCTTCGCAAAAATTCAATTATTTTCATAAATAATAAATTTTTTACAGGGATTCAATTATTTTCGTACATAATAAAGTTCTTTTTAGGAACTCAATTATTTTCATAAATACTAAAACTCATCGCTAAATTTCAATTACTTTTAATTCAGTTTTTATCAGATTCCTCGAAAAATGTAATTATTCTTAAAAATTTTATTAAAATTCGTCAAAAGAATTTAATTATTTAAAAATTTGTTGATAAAATTCTTTAAGAGAATTCAGTGAGATTTTTTTTTAAGAGACATTAAAATATTCAATAAATTATTTTTTTTGTATTTAAATAATTGAATTTTCTATTAAAAATTGATTTAAAAATTAATTTCAGTTTAAATTTTGTATATAATAATAATTTAACATTAAAAGCATTATAGCGTGGATTTTTAAAAATAATTAAATTTTGAAATTAATTTTTTTGAAAAAGTTTAATTATTGAATTTTTGTTATATTATTTGAAGTTTTTGTTTTTTAATATATGTTTAATTAAAGAATTTACGAACAATTGAAATTCATGACATTGAATATTGTAAACAAATGGATTTGAAAATTGTCAGAGAACTTTTTCGAAAATTAATTGATTTAAAGAAGAATTTTAGTTAAAAATTCTCGAAAATAATTTATATTTAGAAAAGTTTTAGTGA